CCATGGGTCCCGGCTTGTGAAGGCCCTCGTGGACAGCGTACTGGACTAGGCGCTCCGCCTCCCTTGCCAGCCGCTCCTGCAGCTTTGGGAGGAAATCCTTCTGCTCTGGGGATAGATACCTCTTCAGCTCATCTTGCAGCTGAAATAAAGCAATCTTATTTTAGAACATATAAAGCAAGTATACTCAATTAGTCAATACACCAATCCTGATCAAGCAATCTAACCCCCACACTACCATCAAAATCAGCACGGGAAGGATAATGTGCGGGCCGCCACCAACTTTGGGTCGCAAATTGGCGGCTAAGAATTGTCACAGCTGGCCAAAGAAAGAATTAAGCCAACTTTGTTGAATGATAAATCCACAGTGTACAAACCTTTGAGGTGAGGGAAGATGTAGTTTCAGTGTGGGAGAACTATGTTTTTGTTCAATGTGGAAGTGGGATGTGCCAAATCACCCTCTTATGGACATGAATGATGGGTTACTGACTTAAACAGCCAATATTTTAACTTAAAGGAGCACATTTATCTGTGTTAGGTTGGGTGCATGCATGCACAGAACATGATAAATCAGGAACAGTCTACTATGGTGAAGCTTCTTTAACTGCATTTAGGATTCCCCACTGGACTGTCTACTGTTCTCAATATAATAATTGTATTATTAGACCTATAGGTTTAGATACAGCACATTTTTCAGAACATAATGTCTAAAAAATAAAAGAATTGCACTAGCAAGTTTCTTACATTGATCACATTCACTGACCCAACATAGAGTTACATTATACAACTTACATGACATGCTTGGCTGAAGCATGGTTAGCGCTGAAAAACTTCAGCTGCACTCGCCTCATTACTGATGGACTGGACAAACTGTTTCCTGCCACTGAATTCGAGATTCAGGAGATGTGACACAGTCTCCGCCTTTGGTTTTTTTTCTCCAATTCCTTTTGGATGACCTGAAAATGTCGGTCTGTCGTGTAGGGTGTCTCTGGATGTGGAAAGAAGAAAATTTTTACTGCCTGAATACACGGAAAATCACCTCTAGTCACATGAACAACACATACTTTTTAAGTTGATTTTAGTAGAAGTATGGCAAGACCTTGCGTGAAAAAACAAGTTCCATAATTACACTAAACTGCAAAATATGTCTGAAAAATTTTGAAATAGCTGTGAAATATGTACTGTACTTGTATTCTATGGCATAAGAAGTTCCTATGACTGAGATAAAACCAATCTCTTCCATCAATAAGTCTTTTTGAAATTCACAAAGTTACCACTCTTTGAGATGGAATAGAATGGTTTGGGATCTCATCTTACCATGGTCTGCAGGTGATTCTCCCTTGTTAGCCAGACTTCCTTCTGGCTCTGCTGCTCTGCATGCCTGAATGATAAATGAAAAAAAATTACATTTGATACATCTACAGTCATTCAGTTAGTTTTGTAATGTGTTTCTGGATACTTGTTTGACAATTCATAACTTCAGCTAGCCTCTACCAGGCTTCAGGAAGTGGCTTGAAAGAGTAGAAATCGGCCAAATAAGAAAAATAGAGACAACAGTTTGCTGCTCCCGAACTGTTCTCTCCAGCCAACCAAACTCCCCTGGCATGCTACCTCTCTAATTTGGTTGATTTCTACTCTCCAGCCGCCTCCCGAAACCTGGTAGAGGCTAAACCTCAGCAACATTGTTTTCCATTTCCAAAATGTGGCTTTGACCTCTGGCAGTCCACCATTTTTAATATTTTAAGTTGGTGCTCTCATAATTGACATAAACAGGTGATCTTGAGAAAAAAAATGACCTGGACCTTTAGCTATTATCCCATTGGAAGGTGGGCATCATTCCCATCATCCAAATACATGGGTATGTATGGAGGGGACTACTCAGTTACAGGAGGTCAATAACAAACTCTCAAATGATATCTATATACATGTACATGTACAGTATCTAATATGAAATAATTACTAACCTTTTTTACTGGAGTTGACATCCCTTCCATCCCTGTTGTCTTCTGATCCTTCTAGAATGGCAATAGATTAAAGATAGGTGGTGAGCATGGTCGAACAATGGATACATTTGGTGGTGAGCAGGGTTAAGCAAATGGATGACAGTTTGAATCTCTGATTGAAGCATAGCTAACCTGCTTTCTCTTTCTGGGGCTCCTTCTCAGGGGGTTTTCCTCATCATCTCCTCCCTTTGCATCATCTCCTCCCTGTTCCTTTTTGGTCCGCGGACCACGCGGGTTCTTCACCTCCATCTTGTTGCTCAATCTTCTCTTCATTTTCTTCAGAAGAGTCAACTGAAAAGATAAAGTACACAAAAATTGCTGTAAGTACATTAAAAAAAATTCTGCAGGTCTGCACATTTTAAGACATTACACAACTATTGTATGCTCAAAACTTTCACACAGTAATAGTAATAGGACTTACATGAGCTTCCTTTGGATCTGAGCATTCAAAACCCAGACCGGGATGCTTCTCCACCAGCCGCTGAGCAACCGCCGTCAGCTCGGCAACAGTGGGATACCTCCCAAACTCCTTTGTGGTGGCCATCATGACTGCGACCTGGTCCTGTACCAGGTTTCTTAGTGTAGTCTTGTGTACCTCCTTGTCATCCAGCCCAGCCATTTCCACCAGTATGAAGGAGCATGACTGCAGGCTGACTGCTGTCTTTCCACTTGGTGGTGTTTCCTGGGTCCTTGGTTCTATCAAGGACGTTGCAGAAGTGTTGTTCTTACTCTGCAAATACATCACAGGCATGATTAGAAAAAGCGTGAAAAGAAAATTTAAAATACCTGTACAGGGCAACCACCACATCAGTCAGAAATTGGGCTACTGCATCGTGCAGTGTGCTAAATGGGCAGATTCCTTTAAAGTGAACAGTCATGTTTGCATTTGATTTATGACCGGTTTTCGACAGCAACATTGTGATTGTGTACTTTCTAAGATTATATTGAATGTGTCTTGTGACAAAAAGTGTCTTGTTCATCCTTGTTGAATAACCAATTTACCAAATACAATTGTGTTGGCTTAGATTATCTGAAAGTTAGTGACAAACACAATTTTTAACATTTAAATATGCATCTTGCACTCCCAATACATTCTTCAGGACAAAGTAAAAGAAAGGATAAATGAAGGATAGAAACCAGAAAGAAGTATTGGTTGAGTCCAAATGGTGGAAAGATAAATCAGCCTGGCAATGTGTACTTATGGCGTGGAAAGCCACACCAGCCTAACTTGCTGGTTCTCAAATGATGCCAGGAACCCAACATACCTTACTGTTTTCTACCCGGTAATTTAAAGACCCAATTATGTAAGTTCTAAAATATTGAACCTACCATTTTTGAAATGATGTCCCGGACCTGTTTCCTCCTCAAGATGAATCTGGTGGTACCATTCGGGAAGAGCCCGACGATATCCGGCTCCGTTAGATCCAGGAAAGATTCCCGATTTCCCCGTCAATCTCATTTTCTGAAATATATAAAATAAACGTTTCATGTACATGTATGGGAAAGCTGTTTGTCAGAAATGCGTCACAAATGTACAACATGCAATTTCTAACAATGCATTTAGTTTTGCTTATGTAAGTGGAAGTCTAGTGGCCGCGACCACCCCAAGTTGGGTCCACAAACGACCACAACTTTGCCTAAAACGACCGCTTTTTTTTCGCGCGGTCGAGCAGGCAAAGATGGCGCCGAAAAGGTCATGCCGGGTCACAGGGAAAGCTTAATTTGGTAAACAACACATTCTAGCGATATCGGCAAGGTTTGAGATCAAACCTCCTCGTTATCGCTTAAGCTAAATCGGTGTGGATTACGTCACACTGTTAGTTTTTGGGCTGGAAAGGCGAGAACATCGGATTCGAAACGATGCGGTCGGCGCTAACCGACCGGCAGCGGACGTCGGACTGAATCAAGCCGGACGACTCAAACAGAAGACCTATCTGACCTACGTGATTCTACTTGTATTTTTTTTTGCAAAGCCAAATTATACTTCTTAGATGTTGTGTGAGAAATTGAGCGAGACTTAAAAGAAACTACTAACTGGTCGAGGTCGCCAACAAGTTATGACGCAAACTAGTGAGTGACTTTGTTGCTTTTTTCAAGAAAACCTGAGCATTTATAATAATCTTAAATCAACAAAGGGCATCATAACTCAAATAACTTGCATGGGAAAACACTGCTAATATACAGATATATAGCTAAATATTTTGGGGGAAAGGCACACGGTTCACATATGGCCGAACGGCAGTTTGGGTCGGCACCCTGCCGCGTGTCAAGCCGGCCTAAGAGAGGCCAATCAATCAATCAACACCAGGCTGCATTGGTTCTTTCATGTCTAAATTAACAAGAAATTCCTATCTACGGAGAAACAAGCAGGCACGTTAACTTGCAAAATTTATTATCATAAATTAACTTTTTGACGGCCATATAAACACGTTGCTTTCTGGCGAACATTCACTGCGGCAGAACGCTGACGCTCGGGCACTCGGTCTATCTTGACAACTTTTTTTATTTATCCCCGGGGAATGATCATGCAATAAAGTTTCATTTCATTTATATAAGTCAAGGGAAAAAAATTCTACACAAGTAATTATAAATTCATCCTGCTTGGTTGCACTTGGAGGTACCCTGTTCGGTGAGTAATTAGCTATAAATGAAGTAGCAGAACGTTCTGACTTTTGCCTTTCTCAGTCGTTTGCCATATGAATATATAAATTTCGAAATAGCCAACCAACAAACTCTAACCACCGAAACATCTGCTTGGACTTGGAGATTAAATCTCTAACGATAAAAATTATGCACAGTTGATAGAATGGTAACTACTACGTAGCAGAATGATGCCCAGGCTACCAGGCTTCGGGAAGTGGATCATTATACTGATAACATGCCAGGGGAGTTGGAACAGTACCAAATCCCGCGTCACCTTGCCCTCTGTTTGGGTTAAGATGTGGATGAGAAACCTGAGCTTCATCTTTTACCTCCTATATGCTTTCTATTTGCCCCTTGATTAGTCCTTACTTATCTTTCTTTCTTCTTCTCTTCCAATACTTATAAGGCTAGTTTCCCTTCGTCTCTCGCAATTCCAAAGATGAAAAGACTAATTTCATCACTAATATACACGCATTGAAACCCCGGCTCGGGATTAAACGCGGACAAATAAATGAAACTGAAAACTTCTCCGTCTTTAACAGCTTTATTGTATGTCAATCACCGTTAAGGATTCCTTGGATCCCTTCACGTGTTGGGGCGCAATGTCTCGACGCTTAACCTACAACATGCAAATGTCCACTCTGACAGGTGTGTATGCCTCTGAGTCAGGTTCCTGACCCCTAGCCAATTAACTGTCTTTGACATGCTGTTGTTTACGATATAATCAGAAAGAAACTTGTTCCACCGAAAAGATATGTCATGAGTGAAAAAACCGAACTCGATCTTTGTCTCTAATGTCGAGTGTCTTGTCTAAAACAAAGGTCTATAGTCATTACAGTTCCTCTGCTGGTAGAATGTCCCCACACCGCATTGTCCCCGTGTGGCAGCTTCGGCTGGCTTTCTCGTCTCGTCCCGCCGCTCGACTTGCGCCTGCAGGATAGCTGCTGGCGAGGCCTCATGGCAGATCCTGTCCAATCTCATGTATCTTCTGGCTGTTGCCTCGCTCCTCCAGCCTACGTGGGACATGAGAGCGGTCTGGTCCGCCCCTCCTAGCGCCATCGTGATAGCGCTAGCTGTGCGTAGGCCATGGAGTGTTTCTCCCTCGTAACTGCCCATCTCCGTCAAATATGCTTTGAAACGGCTCTGAGCAGCGTCATATGTGAACGGTTCGTTCACTACTTCTCCCGACTTGCTAACTGTTCTGAACAGGTATCCCCTATTGAGGGACACATTTAACGCTTGGGCGATCCTGATGTACGCACGTACAGCTTGGACTGAAAACATCGATCTATCTTTGCCGGCTAGTACTGGGAAAGTGTTCGACGTTCCGTCTCTGAGCGTTTTTCCGAATGTGTGGTTGAACAAGATCCCCTCGCCCTTCGGTAGCCAAGCCAGCTCTTCGGATTTGCACCTTCCCAGGTCTGATGCTCTGTCCGCCGCGAAGAACATCGTTTTAAAGAAAGCTTGGTCACGTGCCAGGTTGAAAAGGGTGACACCTTTTATCTCAGGATTCTCCATCTTCTTCTTTATGTGCCCACATATGGTTGACAATTTCTCGAAGAATACAGGTTGTGCTTGCGTGGGTTGTACCAAAGCGTCGGCCTGCTCCGCTTTTGTTACCCTCAGGTATTCCCGCACCTTGGGAGCCGCTGCGGGGTTTCCTGTGCCTATTGCGTCGTTCCAATCTCCTCCTCTCCCGGAGTTGGCAAAGATTGACCTTAGTTGACCTATTAAGGAATCAACCGTTCCCGCTGCTAATCTTCGTGGACAGCCACATCCCGTCGCTTTCTTGTTCCCATAGTTCTTACAGTTCTTGTTACGGACTGTAGTTTTTCCCCCTTTGTCTTTCCAAACCAGGAAAGCGCACACATCTTTAGGGGAGGCCGTGACTAGATCCTTGGGAGGATAAATGTTACCCAAGAAATCTACCAACTCATTCTCTAATGCCGCCTTTTTCTTCCCGTAATCTGTGTTCTTCGCCATGTTGTTCACCTCGTCCAATCTCCTCTTAATTTTCTCTTCGTCTATGTCCATGCTCCTCCTAGGAGGTGGGAAGGGTCTACGCTGGTAGGCGCACATCTGACACTGTCTGAAGTCATGATCGTTGGGGTGATGACATTCTGGACAGGCTGCTGCCGGCTTCCATTGACGTGGCACGAGAGGTAACGGCTGTTGACACGGGCGAGAAGAACAGAAGTGTCATTTCACACTATTACTGACAATGGGATGGATTAATGTACATTCTTACTGGTTATTCTAAACCTCACGGGTGCTCTACTCTTACAGCCCAAAGTTCATACTTGAACACTTTTCCCGGTCTGAGTCCCTTTTTTGAAGGGAAATGCAGGGCTGATGTGCTTCCCGCCTCCGAGATCTTGATAGCCCTGGTCGATGCTCCCAGGAGTGTCGGCCACCACAGTCGTGGGGATAGCTTGGGGACTACTATAGTGACGTTAGCTTTCTTCTGTATGAGAAAACTCACTACTGCGCTTGTCATATTAATAGGCGGGAACACGTAGGCGTTCTCAACGTGGCCTTGTGGGGAGATCCTGGGGTCGTACCTGAACATGTCCACCCCTGCCGAGTTAGGGGTCGGATACGGGGTGTAGTGCCTCAAAGGTCTCCCCAGGCGGTCTGACTGCGCGTTCGAGTCCAGAGCCATGAGGTCCACTGTGTGACCTGCCGTTCCGCCGAACTCCGCTTGGAGGCGATTCCACAGATGTGGTGCCAGCTTACAGTCTGTTTTCGTTAACTGCCTTGAGGGGCGGTCGGCCTCATTTTCTGATGTCTTGACGTGTTTCATTGTCAGCGAAATGTTTAACGCCACGACAGTCTCGAAATATGCTTGATCTCTTCGTTCAAAGACAGGGAGCGGGCTCCGCTACCCTGCCATGCGTCCACCACTGCCTTGTTGTCTACCCTGACTGTTACTCTTGAATTTTTTATCCACTCCCCTGTTGATTTGAGTGTTAAGGCAACTGCTCTGGCTTCTTTGCAGTTGATATCCGCTGACGTCTCGTGTTCTTGCCAGTAATCTCCTAATTCCAGATCCTCTTCCGGGGCTGTGAGTATGCCCTGTGCCGTGTAGCACCGCCCCCCATTTGTATCCTGACGCGTCCGTTGCCATGGAGATGGCCGTGTGTCTTTCGTCCCGCCAAGGGACAGGCTCTACCCCTGCGTCTACGAACCTCCAATGTTCGATTTCCGACCGGGCGCCATCCGTCAGCTTTGCTCTTGATTTTCCTTGTCTAGACATAGTGCCGATCATGCTGTTGCATTGTCTCGTGTATATACGTGCTCCCGGAACCATCAACGCGAAAGAGACACACTTCCCGACGAATTTTTGCAGGTCGAGAATGGAGACTGTAGGGGATGTCAGGATCGCTTCCCGCACAACTGCGAATTTCTCCTGCTTTTCTTCCGGGAAGAAGAAGGCCGCTTTGGCCGAGTTCAATCCGCAACCCAAGTGGACTAGGATCTGCGTCGGAGCGATGATGCACTTCAGGAGGCTCAGGAAATATCCTGCTCTCGTCAGCAGGTCACACATGACGTAGCTCGCCACCTGAGCTTTCTGGAAGTGTGTCGGTTGGAAGGGCAGTTTACGTATTACCTCAAGTTCGCCGTTAAGCCTGTCGTCGATGTACAGCATTGTCGGAACGCCTAGGTGCCTAGCGTAAGACGAAACCAGGGTCCCCGTAGTGTGATATACGTACGCACTTCCCTTCACAATGCCAAAGTGTTGTGTACAAAGAAATAACCCTTAAACTGGAAACCGAAGTACTTCCGGCTCTCTTCCGATAGCTCGATGTGCGAGTATCCACTTTTCTCGTCAGTGTGGGTCATGTAACCCCCTTCCGTTAATACTCTAGGAGCTTCAGTGATAGAATCTAGCTGAAAAGGGCAGTCTTTTGTCCACTGATTGAGGAAACGCCCGTCCCAGCATAGCCTCGGTTTCGACGGCTCCACTGTTAACGGAAGCACCAAGTGCGGGGGTTCACATTGGCCTACCTTCCCCCACAGTCCGATGGACCTGTCTTCTAGTCTGTTCATAATCTCCGAGGTGACAAACTCCTCGTGTCCGTAGCAACTTCTCGCGTTTGGGAGGGTGATTGGAGGGGGGGTAGCGGACTTGTAGGCCTGTCCTTTAAACTCCCCTTCGAAAGGAGTGAAAAAATCACTAACTCGGACCTTATTAACAATCCAATCGAGGACTTCGGGACCTTTGTCTGAGTATTCTGCTAACTCTCTCCATACCTCTAGGTTGTTATGCAAAGAACCCGCTATGAAATTTTTTGGGTCCCGGAAAGGGAGTGAAGTTGAGTCGGCTTGTTGGCGGAAAAGCACTGCCTCTTCGGCCTTTATTGGCGGTACCTGCTGTGTCTCCAAGGTTCTCCTTCCCACGTTACCCACTTCGTATCCGGATTAGAGCGAACTTTTTTTTGGTGGGGGTCGAAAAATGCTGTTGGGGGATTGGCACACCGAATCGGGGAGTATTCCTGGGTGGAAAAATACAAAGTGCGGTTCACTTTTATGCCAACATACAAACCTAGTGTTTGTCTCGTTTAACTTATAAGGGATGGCTGTACTGCCCTGTTTGTATGTGTTGTGAATATTAAAAAACTCAATAGTCGAAACTGAAATGCGGGTGACCTTTTTGCTTGTTTTGCGTTAGTTGTCAAAATCGGGTTGAACGTTCTAATTACCCCACTCTGTCTGGGGAAGCGATAGGTGTTTCTTGATGACCGAGCATTAGCATATTCATAGATTCTACCGATGGTCTATAATTCAAACTATAACACCAAATACCTCCACAACACATTGCCACATATAGGTTCAATTTTTTATTGGAAAATCCTCGGACACAGCTATGACAAACCGACAACTATGAGCTACAGATGTTAGGCCTCGGGGGAACACTTTCAATGGCCTTCCGCTTCTATTAGTTTACGACATCTGTATCCAAAACGGTGTACATGGCATATGTGAGAGAAAATACGGGACGCTGGCGTAGCTAAGGACGTCAGGCCTCAGGAAATACCTTCAATGGCCTTCCGCCTCTCCTATTTCACAGCATGGGTAACTACTAAAAAACGGTGTACCTACATGTATTTAGAAAACGACAAGGGAAAGTAAAATGTTTCGGCTCTGTTCTATGGCGTCGTTCGTCTCTGCCGCTAAACATACTAGACTCTGCGCTACTCCTCCTAGGTGCGGAGGGCCAACTTGCTACCAAAATAAGAGTGTTCAGCAACTGTGTGAAAAACTACCAACTATTTGCTTCAAACTTGACAATAAAATAGCGAGTTCGTTTAGTTCCGTTTCTGGTCAGTTCTCAATTAATTGCGCTTTGGGTGGGGGCAGTCTCGCTGCCAGTGGCCCCGCTCGTTGCAGTTGAAACACTCCTCGGTTCTCTGGGCGTCTCCGCTCCGCTTGCCCGCCGAGTGAGACCTGGGGTGGTTCCATCCCCTCGCGTCTGTGCGGCGCCTGGGTCCCCACGTGCGGGAGGGGGGATGAGAGGGGCCGGCCTTCGGGCCCCAGGTGGCTGCCGGTGCTCGTGCTCTCCCGTGTGAGTAGAAGGCATTCCTGTTGCCTCCCCTGAGCGCCGCGGTGGCCCTCTCCGCTTCTTCGGCGAAGCGGCGTTCCTGCTTCGTCATCACGAACTTCAGCACTTCTCGCCCGATGCCGAAGCTTGTTGTGTTTTTGAGGAAGAACCCCCGAACTCCCTCGTAGTATTCTTTTGCCTTCGCGCTCGAGGCCGTGTCGATGACCTTCTGCAAGGCCCGCTCCAGTCGCTCCGGCTCTGTGTGAATGGTTGGTTCCCTGCAGATGCGCTTGAGTTTTCTAAGTGCACCCTGAGCTCCTTCATCCTATAAAACATCGAGAGAAAATCCGCATTAGGCATTGTTCTCATCATCTTGCTATCGCTCGTAACCGACTCTATCGGATTACCCACACAATAATATATGTGCTCGTATATGAGCCCTTTCCAACTGAAAAGGGACAATCTTACTCCTGCTGCATTCATGAAGAAAACTCCAGTTCGCGTTTCAGGCGAAATTCTTCCATGGAAATGATCCGAAATTTGGAGAAGCCAAATAGGAGGTGTGCGAGGGAATTTGGTATGTTCGTCCCTTTCCGACTGTATTCAGAAGTCGATACAAATCGGCGAGAGACGAAGGGAAACTAGCTTTTTTTTTTTAAATAAGCCCGGGGCTTAGATGTCAAAAACTGTAATTTGGAAATATGCATTTGACAAGATAATTTGTTTGAGCTTCTTGCGACTGAGTGGCTCCCCTCTGGTAAACAGGGACTCGTGCAAGTCGCACTAGGTAGTGAGTTTCTCCATTCTTTGTCAAAAGGCGGTGCCTCAAAGTCAATTGCCAGACTATGCCAGACTACTGTCTCCCCTTCTTAGTATGGGGGCTTTGTCTTAGATATGCCTGGTACCTGTGAAATGCCCGTCGGCGGGAGATGAAACAGCGGCATTTCTTTTCGCAAGAGGACAACACTACCTGCGTGGTGTCATGAAATATTCGGAGCCTTTCGGCTGTCACAATAACAAAGAAATTCTTTTGCATATAGAGTGGTCACCTCTGTGCGAAATGTGGACAAGAACACCCCGGCGTGGGTCTATATTCCTCGTGGTAAATGAATATTCCTTTTAACACGTGCATGACAGTCGGTACCCGCGGTACAAAGCTTTCAAATTTGTGTAAAGAAATCCCAAATTTCGGCGAAAACGACTTCAACGAGCTGCCGGCTCGCGAGAACCAAAATCGTCTGGTTGGAGCAAATTAAACCAAATTTTCAAGACTTCAAACACATGTCGGTCCGCGGGAACCCAAAATCGTTCGGCCTGAAAAAAGTTGACGTGCAAACAAATATCGGCTTACGGGAACCTAAAACCGTTCGGCACGGGTAAAGTTGACGATTTCAACGACTTCAACAGAAAACACCAGCTCGCGGGAACCCCAAAAGTCCGCCCGGCCCGAGCAAAATTGGCAATTTTAGCGACAGAATATCCGCTCGCGGGAATCAAAATCCGTCCGGCCCGAGCAAAAATGGCAAATTTCAACCACAGAATATCAAACATAATGCCAGCTCGCGGGAATCAAAACTCCATCCGGCCCGAGCAAAAACGGCAAATTCCAACAATTTCAAACACAATCGTCAAAGTGCCAGCTCGCGGGAATCAAAAATCCATCCGGCCCGAGCAAAAATGGCAAATTTCAACAACTTCAAACATAATGCCAGCTCGCGGGAATCAAAAATCCATCCGGCCCGAGCAAAAATGGCAAATTTCAACAACTTCGAACATAATGTCAGCTCGCGGGAATCAAAAATCCATCCGGTCCGAGCAAAAATGGCAAATTTCAACAACTTCAAACATAATGCCAGCTCGCGGGAATCAAAAATCCATCCGGCCCGAGCAAAAATGGCAAATTTCAACAACTTCAAACATAATGCCAGCTCGCGGGAATCAAAAATCCATCCGGCCCGAGCAAAAATGGCAAATTTCAACAACTTCAAACATAATGCCAGCTCGCGGGAATCAAAATCCGTCCGGCCCGAGCGAAAATGGCAAATTTCAATAACTTCAAACATAATGCCGGCTCGCGGGGACCCAAAGATACGCCCGGCCCGAGCAAAAATTGGCAAATTTCAAGGTCAATGGTTCACGGGGAAAACATAAAAACAGAAAAGGCAAATCGGAAAACGCAAAAACTGCTCTTGACTGTAGGGGAATCCTACGTAAATGGGGGGAAAATATACCAACCTCCAATTCCTCGCCGCTCTCGGCGTCCGAAGAGTCCGTGGTGGCGGCGGCGGCCGAGGGTTGTGCGGCTTTTGCTTTCTTAGTGGGTGTCGGGGTGTCGTTAGCCGGCGGTGTGGGGCGCTTCTTACACTGAAACTTTACACTGAAACTTTATTCATCAAAACAACATTGCAGGCTGAAACAGCCTGAATTGTGTTGCAAGTCACATGTAATTCCATATTAATAATAACAATTGTAACATTTTAGCGTTAAAAAGATTTAGTGTTATAAAAGAAATATCCGATAATGACGTATTGTATAAAATATCGATAACACATTAAAATATAGACAATAATTGAGTGGAACAAGTTAAGAATACAAATACAAGGAGGCAATAAAATTTTTTATAAAAGTCTATAGTGTCCTTCAGATTTTAAAAAGTCTATAGTGTCCCTCACTGCTGCAGGATGTTGAGTGATCTGGGGATAAATGATTGTCTATGTCTCTCAGTACGGCTAAGTGGTATCTTGTAGCTGGAAGTCTGACGGCGTAGTTGGTAGG